AGACTCCTCTCTGCCCCAGGTAAGTGAAGGCTGGCCTGTTTCCGGTTTCTCTTTGTGTTTTCTGCGCCCAGAGAGGGCCTGCGAGCATGGCAGAGGGCAGCCTTGCTTCCTTTGTAATTTTCCACTGGCCGAGCAGGAGGGAAGCCAAGGCCCAACTTTTCCCTGCAGTCTGCAAAACGCCTTTCCCACAGAATGTTCCTGCGAGATGGAGAAAGATGTTTCTCCATCAGTTAATCAGATAAAAGTCAATCTCCATTTGATGAGCGACTCGGTCTGGCGGGCCCTGGGCCCTGGTCTTCTATATCCCACCCACGCACACAGTTTCATTTTTCGGCTTTAATTCAGGTTTAAGGAGGCAATTAGTGTAGAACCGAAGTGAAGGCTCTGGGAGCAAAGTAATATGGATGCCTTTCAGGCATTGGCAATGAACTCTGCTCTCCACCCCAGCCCCCTCCCGCCCCCTCACTGGTTTGCCTTGATTTCATCTATGAACAATGTGACTTCCTGGTCATTCAAACAAAGGAGGGTTTCTTTAGCCAGAAATGGCCTCAGTCCTGACCTCTACAGTTAAGTTCCCTGCCTACAATTGCTAGTTGATAAGGTCTCCAACAAGAGATTCTGTATTTTGGATTAATCGCTCCTGTTGAGGCCTGTAGAATGCCTATGATCATGTGTGGATCTCCCCCTGTAAACACATCTCCTTACAGTTATTGGGGCATATTTTAAATAACTTTGATGACGCTTGCTCTCTGGTCAGCTGTGTCCAGGCTCTCTGGGTTCAGGCAGTGATGCAATGTTCTGGGAGGTCTTTGCAGTTCATGGGCATTTCTGCATTTTGTTGACTAGGCCCCTACCTGTCTCTATTCTTACCTGACACCTGTGGCCGGTGCTTCTCAGAGCNCTTTGCAGTTCATGGGCATTTCTGCATTTTGTTGACTAGGCCCCTACCTGTCTCCATTCTTACCTGACACCTGTGGCCGGTGCTTCTCAGAGCTGATCCTCAATATTGTCTGAAGCACTTTTCTTACAAGTGCAGCTTCCAGGGCCCTATTCAAACCTGCCCACTCAAAGTCGTTGGGGTGGGGCTTGGGAAGTAGCATTATAACAAGTGCTGAGGTGGTTCAAATGCAAGTTAACGTGGGGAACCTTGGCCTACCAGGCCCTCTGCTCGGAGCCTCTGTAGGATTCTTCCATCCCAGGATGCTCACCTTCTCTTCTCTCCTGAAGGAATCCTCGAGGTGTCCTCTGGGGCCTGGCCTCAGGCACCTGTCCTTGAAGATCACTCCTCTCCCTTCCTCTAGAATTTCTCCCCCTGGCACTGTTTGGGCTCCAGGCCTGTGCTATTTTCAGGTGTGCCTGTATCTGATGGACCCACACCCCCCAGTTAGAGTCCCTTCAGTTCATCTCGTGCTAACTGAGCTTCTGTGCCAGACACAGAGGTGAGAGACTGGTCATCTGTGATCTCTCGGCTCAAAGGGAAGGTCCTCCTGTCAACAACCTAAAAAGGTGCGCCGGAAATCCTTGAGTAGCTGAGCCACAGTAAGCAGTAACATTGTCCTGGGTCTTAAAGAATACATGGGTTGTACTAGGTTGCTACTGAGGTTGTGGGGGAAGGGCATCCAGGCAGAAGGAACAGCATGGGCAAAGGCTTGGAGGTCTGACTCTGCGAGACTCACCCTGGGAGTCACAAGCCTTTCAGTAGGTTTAAAGGAGCGGTCAAGTGTGGACCGGAAAGGGCCTTGTGTGTGTGGCTGATTAGATCACATTTCATCCTGTGAATCATTGTTTGCCAAATGTCATTCACTATATCCAAATACTTCCTATTATTTGCCCTTTTTTTCCTTAAATAGACTCACTTTTATGTTTATGCAAATTAATTGCCAAAGAAAACTTGACATAACTACTGTCAAAAAACCAGTATCACTTGCATCAATAAAGGTGACCACAAAAATAAATGTAATGAGACCTGGCCAGTGTGGCTTAGTTGGTTGGAGTGTTGTCTTGTGTACTGAAGGGTTGAAGGTTCGATTCCCGGTCAGGGCACGTGTTCGAGTTGTGAGTTCAATCCCTAGTCGGGTGTGTAGAGGAGGCAGCCGATTGATGCCACCCCCCCCAATCAATTAAAAATAAATAAATAAATGTAATGAAAACAAAGCAAGTGACCATGAGGTGTCAGAGCCGTGGTAGCTCCACGCGGAGTTTCTTCTCTATAAAGAAACCAGAAGGTCTGTAAGAGAATCAAAAGGACCTAATTTCTTGTTCTGTGTTTTGCTCTCTTTGAATTCTGGGTCTCTATGCCATCGAAAACCAGCTCCCTTAGCTGCAGGGACAAGTAGCCCATCCCTTAGGAAACTGCTGGGGACAGTGATCAGCCACGAAGGTGTCGAGCAGGGAGATGACATGATTCTGTAGCTCTGCTTCAGAAAGATCAACTTTTCTGGCAATATGAAGGGCAGACTCGGGATGAGCTACCAGACTGGAGTCAAATGGGGGACTCTTGAGATAATTCAGTCCCCAGACCACCCACTAGGGCCTGAAAGCCAGGCTGGGACTGCAGAGAAGCAGAGGCGGGCAGAGAGTGCCTGGGAGGAGACAGCGGCCTTAGGTGGAGCTTTGGGCCTGTGGGTGTTTCTGGGTGAGAGAGGGCAGGTGTAGTTTGGTCCTATGGCGGGGCTTTTCTAGTTACACGTAGCAGAAACCCATCTTAAAGTGGCTTAAGCATTGCAAAAACTAGGGAGGGAGATGTTAGTTTTTTGGCTCATGTATCAGGATTTTCGAGCAGCAGGTCTCCTGTGATAGTATTGGATTTCTGTCTCTGTCCCACTCTCTTCTGATTTCTCCTGGGCTGCCTTTTCTTTCGGGCTGGCCCAGCCCCTGTGACTCTAGGCTCCAGGATTCCGCCAACCTTACAGTTAGCAATCTCCCTACAATCAGAGCTGCTCTTTCCCAAAAGGTCCACTGAAGTCCTGGGGCTGACTTTCATTGGACCTGCATGGGTGACGTGTCCATCCTTGGACAATCATTGTGGCCTATGGGATGGGATATGCTGACTGATCAGGCCTGGACCATGTCACCACCCTTGGAGCTGGGATGCAGGGCTAAAGGTTAAGGGAGTGGTGGCCTCCCACGGTCATGGACATGAACGCTGGGCAGAGAGGACAGCCGATGTCCCCAGAGCCGTGAAGGGCTTGCAGACTAGACCAGTGGCAGAGCATGTGTTCTGTACATTCTCTTAATCTTCCTTGTGCTTGGCCCAGACCCTGCGCACAAGTAGTGATCAATAAAATATCAGACAGAGCTATGAGCACATCTATGACTTCTGCCTGCTCTATAATTGCCAGGAATTAGCCTCCCTCCCAGAGGGCACAGGCTGTGGTGCTGTGGAAGCTCTCTTGTCATTTAGCAGGTGTGCGTGGGGCTCACCAGGTGCTGTGCTGGGAAGTCAGCAGTGAGCGAGGGAGGGGCCGCTCCCGCCCGCATGCAGCTCCCAGTCCCGTGGACTGTCATTGGCAGAAGCGTTTGCAGGAGAGTCCTTTCCTGCCATCTTTCTGGATACCTTGGCTCCAGGCTCATGTCAGCCTTTGCTCCTTTGTTCGTCGATGTGCCTTGAATCCCTACCTCTTACAAGGGCCTCTCTTTCACCTGGAAGCATTAGCCAAGTGCCTGCTCTGAGTCCAGCCCCATGCTGGGGACACTGGAGGCACACAGAGGCATTCGGGGACTTGTCCCCACTGGCAGGGGCTGGGTAATGAAAAGACTGAAAATGCAGCATCTGAGTCTTCATCTTCGAGCCCAGGTGGGAGTGCTAGCCCAGCCACTCCTGTATGTCTAAGAGGGCCGGGTCACGTAGCCTCAGCCTTGTCTCTATGAACCAGGTGTAGGGATTCCACCCACCGCGAGGGGTTGACTTGAGGAATCCGTAAGTGAAAAGTGCTTTTGAAAACTGAACAGGTGTCCATCCGCTGCTGCCAATCGTCCTGTGAAAACCCTTCTGATACACAGCAGCCCAGTGATGAGGGACTGTGGACATCAAACATGGGCCACGTCACTTTGAACATCTCTTGCTTCGTGGGCGGTGTGAGTGCTGAGCTTGTCCTCACTGTCATGATTGATTGGGGCCTTGGGGTATTGGATCCTCATCATTTGCAGGGTTGGGGCTTCTGTCCTGTCATCTTTGAGCCACTTGCCTGGTCTGGGAGGAGGAGGACCTGGAGGCCAGGCCTGGCTCTGGCTCTTACCAGCTGTGTGCTGGTCACTGAACCTCTCTGAGCTTCCGTGTTCTTGTCTGCAAATGAGTGATGAGACTCCATCCTCTGAAGGTGGTTGTGAGTACAAAAAATACATGTGAGGGCTAGCCCAGCACCCGGTACAACCCCACTCTCCTGTGAGCATAACCCTTGCTTAAATAAATCTCTTACCCAAGCTGTTCTCTGCTCCCTTCCATAAAATCGGCTGACCCTGCCTTGAGCTTCTCTCTAGACCGAACACAGTGCCCTGTAAGCACGACTCTTGACCAGATGCTCCTGGACTTGAGCATCTGACATTGTAAGAATTTTAATAGTTGCTGGCTTTCTTTTAAAAGTGATTTTATTTTTTTTTAAGTACTGACTTTCCCTTTCCCAATTCAATAAATGGAATGGTTCCTCTTCCATTTATATGCTTAAATCTAGCAAATAAAAGATTATGGATTTATGTGGACTTTAATTTACTCAACAAACCTTTACATTGATTTATTGAACAAACTTTGCCAAGAATCTGTGCCTGGGCTGCAGAGATGAACTGTCCATAGCCCTGCCCTCAGGGAACCTGAGCCCTGGACTCACACTGGCATCTCCTGAGAGCTTTGAAAATGACTGATGCCCAGGCACAGTCTGATGCCTAGAGGGGGTGATTCTTGTATGAATCAGGGTTGAGACTCTTGGCTACAACCAGAGACACAAGGCAGGAAGGGATCGGTGCCCAAAAAGAGGAAAAGGCGAGGCTCGAGGGAACTTGGGGCCAAGGTCTGGTGAGACTTGCACATGAATGAGTGACCTCCGGTATCGCCACGGCTGCTGGGATGTTCCCAGGTGCGGATCCTGCCCTCCAGGACTTGGGAGCCTTGTGAGGAGTCTGGACTCAATGCTGAGCCTGAAACAGGGAAACACATCCATGCACTGCACTCGCTTTCTTATAATTTTTTATTGAGATAAAATTCACCATTTTCACCATTTTAAAGTATGCATTTCAGCAGTTTTTAGTATATTCACAAGGTTGTGTAGCCATCACTACGATCTAATTCCAGATCATTTTTGTCACCCCCCCCCAAAAGAAGCCCTGTACCTCCCAATACAGGCCCCTTGCCCAGTCCCTGGCGACCACTAATCAGCTTCCAGTCCCTGGACTTGCTATTCTGGAATGTAGCATAAACCTGGATATTCCCTGCTAGTCTGGGCTCAGTTTCTTCATCTCCTAGTGGAGAGGAAGCC